GTGCCCTAGAAAGGTAGGCCCATGATGTTCAGGTAGGGCTCCACTCCCTGGCACCCTGGGCGTCTTCTACCGGCTGGTCCAGGTCGTTTGTACTGCCCTCGCTGGGGGCGGGGTTCAAGACAAAGGTTTCTCTGCCTGTAGCTCTGATTGTCCTGGAACTCTCTCTGTAGACCAGGCTGGCCTCGAATTCAGAGATCTTTTTGCCTTTGCCTCCTGAGTTAAAGGCATGTGCCACCACCGCCGGCCTGATTTTTAAGTAGCCCAGTGCCAGTTCACCAGGCCGAGGGAGGGCAGAAGCAGGACAGCAGGCAGATTACTGGGCTTTGGGGAAAATAGGGAGTAAGGGTGGGTCACTTCCCTGAGGGTTCCTCACAGGGAAGGAAAGTTCTAACTCGAGTGGGAAAGATAACGCAGGAAGGCAGAAGGGGTAGATGAGGGATCCAGGAGTCTACTCAGCCCCTGGACTGGGCTCCTTCCTCCTCAGCTGGGGGCTGCACCTGGTCATCCTGGGCGCTCAGAACTGGAGTCGATACTAATGGTAACAGGGTTTGTTATTGAGCATTTTCGGGAGCATGCTCGCACACATGCACACACAATGCTTTACAGTCTCTTGTGTAATTTTTATAATCATATAGTGAGCTGGGATGGCATGGGGTTATAGAAGGAAACTGAGGCAGGAAGGTCAGTAGGGTTTCCCTCAAACGCTCCCATCAGTACTCAAATCTATTGCAATGGGTAAACTGGGGCCTGGTAAACACAGAACCCCTGTCTCTACCCACTGGGTCTGGCACTGCAGGGTGGCTGTGTGCCCCCAAGGACCCTGGGATCCAACCAAGATAGATACGGGGCGGGGGGGGGGGGTAAAGTCAAACCCAGAAGGGGAGACTTTCTGTTCCTCTGTGTCAGGCGAAGGAAAGTATCTGCCACAGGACACCCAGTCCCACCAGCTAGGCAGAGGGCAGGAATGCCCTGGGTTGCTCATTTGTTTGTTTTGTTTGTGAATTTTTTCTTTTTGCTTTTTGTTGTTGGTTTTTTGTTTGTTTGTTTGTTTGTTTGTTTGTAGACAGGGTTTCTTTGTGTAACAGCCTGGCTGTCCTGGAACTTGCACTGTAGACCAGGCTGGCCTCAAACTCACAGAGATCCTCCTGCCTCTGCCTCCTGAGGGCTGGGATTAAAGGAGTGTGCACTGCTCCCCCAGTCCCCCACCTCCCACAGTCCTGCATCTCTTGATGTCTTCAGCCCTGAACTGGGAGGAGATGGACCTAGTATATGTCAGCCTTTACTGCCAGTTCTAAACAAACACCCCTCAACTGACTAACGTGCCTAGCTGCAGAGTGAAGCATGACCCCAAGAATAAGGTCCTATGTCACTACCCTAAAGATATTTGACAGGCCCAGTGAAGTAGCCTAGGTGACTGTCATCATCACAACCCACGTGGCAGAGGTATAGTGCAGAAAGCAGGAAGAGAACTACTATGTAATGCAGATGTGTTTAGTAACTTACTTAATCACTTCCTCTTTCAGGACAAGACCTCCATTTAACCCTGTGGGGCCTAGAACTCTTGATTCTCCTGCCCCTGTCTCCTGAGCTCAGCTAGTAGAGCTATTCACCTCTCCTGGCCTCCAATTAGTGATATTTTGTTTGTTTGTTTTCTTTTTTCAAGACAGGGTTTCTCTGTGTAGACCTGGCTGTTCTAGAACTCGTTCCATAGACCAGGTTGGTCTCATACTCAAAGAACTGCCTGCCTCTGCCTCCCAAGTACTGGGATTAAAGGTGTGCACCACCCCTGTCCAGATAGTGACATTTAAAAAAAAATTGAAAGAATGTTTAGTTTGTCTGGCGGTGGTGGCACAGGCCTTTAATTCCAGCACTCAGGAAGCAGAGACAGAGGAATCTCTGTGAGTTCAAGGGCAGCCTGGTCTACAGAGTGAGTTCCAGGGTAGCCAGGACTACAAAGAGAAACTGTCTCAAAAAAAAAAATTATCCTGCATTTGTTTGTGTGTGAGAGCTCGTGTGTGTGCACACAGGTACTCCACACTGTGAATGCAGAGGCTGGAGTGCTGGCAGGGATCAATCATCTCTTTCCGCCATGCAGTTCCAGGGAATGAACTCAGGTCGTTAGACACAGCGGCAAGCACTCCCTGACATCCCGCAGGCCCCAAATTTATGATTGTTAAAGTCAACTAAAGGGGCTGGAGAGATGGCTCCATGGCTCCATGGTTAAGAGCATTGGCTGCTCTTCCAGAGGACTCAGGTTCCCCTGAGTCCAGAGGTGTGGGTTCCCCCAGCACCCACGTGGCAGCTCACAGCTGTCTGTAACTCCAGCTTCGCCGGATCTGGCTTCTTCACATGGACACACTTGCTGGTGAAACACCAATGCACATACAATAAAAATAAATTAAGCATTTAAAGCCCGGTGTGATTGGTTCTATCTGTAATTCCAGCATGTGGGAGACTAAGTCAGGAAGGATCAGTGCAAGTCGGAGGCTAACCTGGGCTACTGAGTGAAACCCTGACTCAAAAAGCAAAACAATAAAACCAAAAATATCCGAAAACAGCTGCGCATGATCTCAGTACTTGGAAGGTGGAGGCAGGGGGCTGCACAGAGGTGCCCTGTGGTGTTCTCAGCACAGGGAGGAGGAGGCAGGAGGGTCAGGAGTTCAAGGCCACTTTTTACCAGACTTTTTACTAGGCTAGTACCAGAAATAAAAGCAAATCATGGGTGTGGTGGCTCTGCCTTTAATCCCACCACTCAAGAGGCAGAGAGAGGCAGGCAGATTCTGCGAGTTCGAGACTAGCCTCATCTACACAGCTAGTTCCAGAACAACCAGAGCTACACAGTGAGACTCTGTGATGAAAAATAAACAAAGTTAAATTTAAAGGGAGAGGTATGTGGAGAGAAGGCTCAGTAGTTCTTTCAGAGAATCAGAAACTGTGTGCCAGCATCTGTAAAGGGTGGCTCTGGCCTGCCTGTAACTCCAGCTCTGAGGGGCTTGACACCCTCTTTTGACTTCTGGGGGCAGTGCACTTGTGTGCACAAACCCACACTCAGACACACATGTATACACATAATTACTTTTTTTTTTTTTTGGTTTGTCAAGATAGGACTTCTCTGTGGGCTTTTGGAGCCTGTCCTAGAACTCATTCAGTAGACCAGGTTGATCCTGAACTCACAGAGGTCTGCCTGCCACTGCCTCCTGAATGCTGGGATTAAAGGTATGAGCCACCACTAAATATTTTTTTAAAAATTTCAATCATAGGGGGCTGGAGAGATGGTTCAGAGGTTAAGAGCACTGACTGCTCTTCCGGAGGTCCTGAGTTCAATTCCCAGCAACCACATGGTGGCTCACAACCACCTGTAATGAGATCTGGTGCCCTTTTCTGGCCTGCAGGGACATATGGAGGCTGAACACTGTGTACATAATAAATAAATAAATCTTTAAAAAAAAATTCAATCATAAGCCGGGCAGTGGTGGGTGGGCTTCTTGAGTAAGCTCAGGTTCAAGGTCAGAAGCGACATGGCTTTTCTTTTTCCAGAGGTTAGTCCAGAGTGTGTGTCTGGGGTGAACATTTGGGAACGCTGCAGGTGCTGCAGGTGTCTAGAAGTTGGAGAAGGGTATCCCTGGAGCAGGCTGACCTTGATGCTTATCATTTGAGTCCAGAACAGGGTTGGGGAAGCAGAGACCTCTGCGGAGATGCCTGGGAGATGAGAAACTTCCTAGGGCCAGGTCTTCCACCTCCAGTCACCCAAGCTAACCTTGTTCCTCCATTTTCTCTTCCATCCTAGAGAGCTCCCGGGTGGGTACTAGTTCCCGAAACTTGTGAGCTGGGGAGGAGGTGTCTGCAGGAACACCTGCCTGCCCTGAGCCTCCGCTACTTCTTCCTCCTATCATGGGACCACTGACCTCAGTTCTCTCTGTCTTCCTCGGCAACAGGTCCTATGGCTCACCCACCTGGATAAGGAGCTCAGGGGCAGATTGACCGGGCTGTCCTCAACCCCTGCTCCCCATTGCACACATCGGGAGAAGACAAATGTCTCGGGCCAGTGTGGCCTCCGGTTCTGGCTTTGGCATTGGAGGTCTGGACAAATCTCTTCCAAGTTCTGAACCCAATCTGAGTGTCCAAGACAAGGATGAGACCCCCGGGAAATATCCCAAGGATGGGACAGCTTAGTACTGGATCCCAGTAAGGCTGTTCTGAAATTTTGGAGGGGTAGGGACTCTGACATAGCCCCCTGGAAGCCGTGGCAGAGAGTGGAGTCAGGTGGTTCTGAAACAAGGCCCTCTGGTTTGTGTCCAGTCCTGATGTGTCTCAGCTCTGTGCTCTTGGGCAAGTTGTTTAAACTCTCAGTCCCTTAATTCCTTCTCGAGGCTAACTATGGTACACACGAACTGTGTTCATTTATTCCTCTGCAACACTGTGGACTGAACCCGTGGCCCTATGGTTGGTAGGCAAGCGTTCTACCACTGAGCTATATTCCCAGTACCAAACATACCGTTTTCTTTTGTTTATGCTACCTTGTAGGCTCCTGGCTAGGCAGGAAAGGAAAACCCACTACCCCGAGGATGCCTGGGGCCAGACAGGGTCTCAGGGTCATTCTCCTTTTGTGCCTGTCCTCGCTATGGTTGTCAGCGTGTTCCCAGGAAGGTGCCCCTGTCTCCATACTTAGCACACAAACTGAAACTGTACAGACATTCACACCCTCTGCCCACCTGAGCTTCCTCAGACACAGTGAATCAGGCAGGTGGTGGGATCCACTCTAAAGGGGCTCTGGGGCTGAAACCTGGTCTGTCCAGTTGCGCTCCTGTGGACAGGGTCAGCAGCCTGTTATCTGGAGAGCTGAGAGAAAGGCCACCCTACTGCTAAAGATGGTGACACAGTGGAGGGGGACAGTGCTCCTGAAGGTTCAGATTCCAGAAGAACTCTATGTCCTGAAGTGCACCCGGGGATGTTCAAGGGACTTCGTGAGTGATGGCACAGCCCAGAGAAGAAGCAAGGCAGGAAGTGGGGCTCAGGTTTTATTTGGAATCATTTAAAAAAAAAAAAATTACAGCAGCATCTGATCTATGGGATCCTGAGGGCCATAGGGTAAAAGGAGCCAGCAGGGGGCGCTGGCGCTGGCAGTAGCGTGCGCGCGTGGATAGGCTTGTGGCACCCGGCTGGGTCGCAGAGAACGTGGGCAACCCGCAGGGCACTTTGGGCAGGACACTTATTTTGCCAGGTGGGGACGGGATCCAAGATAGAAGGGGTGTCCCTTGGGCCTCTGTGGCTGATGGCAGTCTCCTACTCTCCTCCACTCTTGGCCTGGCAGCGAAGGGAGGAGAGGAAGGGAGGCAGAGATGGAAGAAGGGAGGGGGAAAGAGAAACGGAGGAACCGAGGGAGAGAGACCTGCACTCAGCATCAGGCCCTCAGTTCTCCCTAACCACGAGGAAAGGGTCACTTATGAGGAGATTATGCACTCAGGTCCAGGACTGCCACACCCATGTCCCTGTGGGAGGCTGTGGAAAATCTTCCACTCAGAAATGAAGGAGGTCTATGTGACTCGGGTCTCTACCAGAACTTTCTGGTGTGCCCTGGGAGGCCTGCTCTTACCTCTTCATCCTCCTCTTGCTCTTTGTTCTCCTGGTCCTGGGCAGAAGTGGGTTGTTCCAAGTCCTCCTACAGTGGGGGTACAAAAGGGACACAAGGCTATGGAAAGAGATACACTGACCCTCAGCTGCCAGGGTCACAAATGAGCAGGGCCTTCCATCGTTCTACTGTCCTTAGGACATCTGGGGTGCCAGAGTCCCAAGACTCTGAGTGTACCAGATACATCAAGCCAGCTTCATCTTCCGCAAACGAGCTAAGTCATGGGTACCTGCCTCCCGACATGTTTAGGCTCCTTAAGTGCGGAAGTCTGGAAGACGTGGAGTAAGGTTGGGAGTGAGCAGAGACCCTTGGATCACATGAACCCCCGCACTCAGGTGGTGTGAACAGTAGTATGTCATCAGCGTTCACGGCACCCCGGAGGATAGCAGCCACGGCCTAGAGACTAGTTCAGGGCCTCAGAGCACAACACATTGGCAGGGCTAGCTCCTGCTTGCTCCAGGCCCCTCTTCCTGCCTTCTGGATGTGCTCCGGACTCGGGCCTGTCTTCCATCTCCGCTCTCTCCACAGCATGTGCTGACATGCTCATGACAGCGGGGAGTTTAGAACAAGACTGATGGTCCGTCCGAAATCCGTTCTCAGAACCCATGTTACCTCAGGACCAAAACAAGGAGAGACAAAAGGACGCAGAACTTTCAGCCGGGATCACACAGAGCCAGGCTCTTCGGACGAAGTGCAAGCGACTGCTTGCCTGGGCATACTACCCCAAGAGTGGCACCTGAACCCCATGGCATGAGTGGCCAGACAGCCATGCTGCATTCTTCTGAAGGTCACTGGTAGGATTAGGTACTGTGTCACCAGGTAATGACTGTCCCTTGGTACAGCTCCGCGGGCTCAGCAGTTTCTTCGGTTTAGCAAGGGGTAGCCTGAAACGAGCTCCCAGGGTCCTTCTTGCTAGGGGCTTGGGAGGAGGCTTCCTGGGATGCCCGCAGCTCTGGTGACAGTGGTGAAGATGACAATGGTGGGTGCCCACCACGTGCCTGGCAGAAATGCTCGCTGGCATACTTTCTCTGCCTTCCCCCACAGTCCTGTGAGACGGCAATTTCAGACAAGGAGTTGCGGATCCGGATAGGATCTCTTTCCAAAGTCACACAGCCTGCCGAGGTGCGTCTGCACAGCCCAGAGACAAGAGACCCTGTGCTGGCCCCAGCAGCAAGTGTTTGGGGTGGGTGGCCCCACCCCTTTCACACACACACACATACACACACCCCCAGAGCAGACTTCTGTAGTATTGGCTGTGAGGGACCCTGGGGCTCAGCCACTGGGGCGGCCTGTTGTAAGTATGGGGGTTGAAGATAACAAGTCTTTGGACTCAGCTTCCTCTCAGCCTCCATTCTGGAACCTCCATCCCTGCACAGTCTACGCTCAGTCTTTCAAGAGCCCAGGAACTGGCGCTCACGGAAGCTCCATGCTCACACAGGCTAACCACGCGACTGTGGCTCGTCACCCAGTCTCTGTAGGCTTTTCTCTCCACATCCTGTTTTGTGGAATGTGGGAGCCCATGCAAAGGGTAAGTGTAAAATGCTTAAAGCATTCAGCAAGTGCTGAGTCAGCTCCTACCTCTGGCCTCTATCCCTAGGGAGCCCGAGGGCCCTGATCTTTCAGCCGCCTGCCACACACATACACACGAACACCCATCCATGCATACATCACATGCATACACATCCGTGTTCATCTCCACCATCCCTACAACCCACATACAACCCACATGCTCACACAAAGACTTCCGCAGAGGGTGGCGTCAGAGCCCTGCTGCTTGTCTACCACAAGGGGGCAGTGTTTCCCCCACCGCTTCATGGGGAGGCAGCGGTCAGACCCTGGGACCGATGGAGGTTGCACAAAGGCACAGGTAGTCCTGGTAGTGGCTTGGAAGTTTTAGCCTGTCTAGAAGGCTGCCTTTCACCACACAGGGCCCTGAATTCACTTGTAAAATTTATTTCCTATATTCCAAAAGTGATGGGCTGGGCATGGTTTGAGTGTTTGTGCATAAAACGAATCCCAGAGTCCCCAATCCAGGGGTGCGGAAAGAATTCCAGATATGAACAGTTGTAAAGACACCATGTCGTCCCAACACACACAATGAGTGCTGCCTGTAATGTCAAGCAGCGTCTAACGCTCCTTCCCCACACTTCCAACAGTGTCTCCTGCTGCAGGGAGCCCAGGGAAAGGACGTGAGCCAGACTCACCTTGCGTACCACCCCAGCGGTGACCACGATGTTTTCTGCCTCCTCCACGGTCTTGGTGGCCACCGTGTTGACGCTGCTGACCACAGCTTCACTGACGGCACTGGCCTGCTCCTTTGTCTTCTCAGCCACTGCAGAGGATTCGGGCTGAACTCAGCCAGGAGCGTCTCCACCGCTGCCTACCCGAGTTGGGGAGAACAGTCCCTTTCCAGAGCTCGGATGCCTGACTTTTTTAAATCTCCATGCCATTCTCTGACTCTAAGGCAGCAACAATGTGAGGGATGGGGTGGGGTGGGATGGGGCAGGGGGGCACAGGAGCCTGCTCTGGTTTGCCTTTAGAGAATATAGTAGTTTAGGTCATCTGGATCCTAGGGTCCCAGTTGATACAAGGAGGCCTCTAGGTGTGGGCCCTGGGTACAAGGCAGGATTCTTGGGGTCCCCTTACCTGATGTGACACTTTGTACCACGTTCTCCTTGGTTTTGGTGCCTGTCAGAGGGAAGAGGTGTTCAGGCAGTCAGGGTGAATAGCTGAATACCCAGGGATGGGGGCGGGACAGGAGGGGATGAGGATGGTGTCTGGGGACAGTAACCCCTTCAAAGGGACATTTCCTGCTATGTCTGAAAGACAGAAGACAGACGGGAAGGAGACAGGACAGGAAGAAGGGACAAAGGGGAATCAGGCCTGAGGGAGGGTCACTGGTGGTGGGTCTATGGCCCTCACATGGGTGTGGCCCGAGCCTCAGAAGCAGGAGCTGAACAGGGCAGAGAAAGCTGAGTCACAGGCTTGGCCACCCCTGCCCCCTCTTTGGAGGGAGACCAGAGAGCTGGGGTAGGTTGAACGCTCAACTGGGGCCATCTCCAGAGCCTACCCCTTTCCTCTAGTGGGGCCATGTGGCCTAGCTTGGCTGCTGCAGCTCCCATCAGAGAAATCAGGGTCCACCTGAGCAGATCACTGTCTCTGGGTCTCCAAGCACAGGCACCCCCAGGCATGTGCGTGCATGCTCTTGCATGTACACACTCAGGTGGTCTGAATGGCACTAAATCCTGTCCTAAAGACTTCAGAGTACCTCCCCGCCAAAGGCTCCAAAGACAAATACTAACATATTCTCCAGAGTGTGGGGGACCCTGCCTCAACAATCAGGGTTTCATCTCTCTCAAAATACTCCCCGGAATGTGGGGGGAGTCAGCAGAAGGAAGGTAGTAGGAGCCGGTCTACATTAGGGAGCCCTCTGCCCCACCCTGCCCCGCCCCGCTGCCACACTCACCCACATACATGACTCCTTCCTTGGTCTTCTCAGCCGCCTCTGTCACTCCCTGCTTGGTCTTCTCCACAGCCCCCACCACACCTTCCTTGGCAATGGAGAACCCTTTCTTGAAGACGTCCATGGTGGTTGCGAGGACGGGACCTGACTGCTGCGAGCTGGGGACTGGAGCTGGCAAGTGTTGGCTGCAGCCGCTGTCCCTGCCGCCGCTGCCTCTTATTGACGCGGATGAAATATTGATGCTGTGGCTGCTGTCTGGAACCCGGCCAGCCCAGGGCGGGGTGGGGGCAGGGAGGGCGGACTGGAGAAAGCATGCCCCAGGGGGACACAACCAGAGAGCAGGGCCTGGGCCCCTTCTGGCTCAGTTCTGCCCTGCTGACTCCTGCCACTCCAGGAGAAGGGGTGCTTACAGGAGGCTGGACATATCCTAATCTATCATTGTCCCTCAGTCACCCTTGGGAAGTCATGGGGGTCTTGTGCCCTGGAATGTGCTGTGCAGAAGATAAGCATCTTGGCCTGTGCCTCAGTGTCCCAGGTTGGGCAGGGGTCAGAGCCTGTCCGGTAAGAGCCCAGCCTGCAGGTTACTCTGGATGCCCAGCTACCCACAGCATCCTGGATGCTCCTGACCCTGGGGCTCTAGTCAAACCTGTTGGAAAGCTGAGAAACACAGATTCCCCCCATGCCTGCAATGGACTGGGTGACATGCTGTGTGTTTCTAGCATAGTTCCTTCCCTTCTCTGAGCTTTCACACACCTGCTGGTTCCCATAGCCCAGCGACAAAGGGTGCTAAGAAGGCACGAAGGGCCTGACCCCCCCTCTTCCCCCTGCTTCCTGGCCAACAGCGTGGGTGGCACCCTATCTCCCAAGGCTGACACTTTCCACTGTTCCGTCTTCAGGCCCAGAACAGAGTCCTGTAGAAATGGCTCTACAGGGTGATAGGGTTACCCTCGTGTGTCTCTCACACCCGCAACGTCCTGATTCAAGTGCCATTAGGACACAGGAATTGGCCTGAGTGGTTGCTGACCTCAGAGGGGACCAGGCTGGGAGAGGCGGGGGCGGATGAGCCTTACCGGGTGGGCCGGACCAGGCCACTTCCTCCCTTTGTTGTCCCCATGTTTTCCTTTCTTTCTGACTTGAAGACCACATCAGCAGCAAATTTGGGAGTCACTGGCAAGGTTGAACCTCGGTGGAGCCAGCTACGTCTGCCGGTCACCATGATCCTGACACTGATGCTGGGCCTTGGCGGGTACCTGAATTGGGGACTTCTGGGGGCCTGGGCACAAGACCCTGGTACCAGGTTCTCTGATCCCAAAAGGCTCAGGGTACCTGCGGGCTGGAAAACAGAGACTGCCGATACCAGCAGAGACCCTATCGGACGGTAAGGAGATCCTGGCCATAGCGGAGGTCAGGGGATGGTAGCTGAGTCCCAGATACATATCTGTGGAATGGGCTGATATATGGCTAATTGGTGCTAGTTTCCTGGATCCAGTACTTCAGGGCCCAGCCTGAGGATGCCAGGGTGGTCCCTGCTTGACCCTTACCAGGGACTTCGACTGGGGCTCCCACTATCAGTCACCAGCATGGAACTCAGAGGGACTGATGTTCTAGATGCTTCCTGCTGATGAGGGCTACTCTTTGAAGGAACTCAGCTCTGAAAGCTGAGCCCCAACAAGGCAGCTATCCCTAGGGGAGACATTTGGATCTGAGTGCCCAAGGTACCAGGCCAGGACTGACCAGTGCATGAAGGGCTCCTGAATCCCCCGAGCTCGTGGAGGCAGGGGCTCCTAGGGCAATTCCATGAGGCCTCACGGATGGACAGGATACAGCTGACTCCAGACATGGTTTTCCAACATCCTCATTATGCTTCGAGGTGCCTGGTCTCTAGCTCTGTCCCTCGTCCCTCAGGGTTTGGGGTCTCATGACTGGACATGTCCAAGGCAGAAGGCAGGTGCCACTTGCTGGGCCAGCCTCGGAGGCTCAGTTTTTCAAGTATTACTTCTATTGCTTTTCCCAACAGCCTTTCTCACGGTGGAGGAGGCTGCATCTCACAGTGGCTGAGTGACTTGCCCAGGTTACAGCCTAGGAGAGCTGGATCTTCGTTTTTCATACCCAGCTCTCTGAGTGGAACCCTGCGATCTGTTAAAGACTGGGCAGCCAGCTCACACCCATCCTTAGCTTCCCCAAGGGACTGCGATAGGGTTCCCAGACAAATCTGCCCGGGGCCAGGTTCCCATCCATTTCTAACACTCCCAGGGGAATATCTGTTGGGAGCTTTCTGGAAATCAGGCTTAGCCAGAAAGAAGCCCCAGAGTGACAGGGAGCATGCGCTGATTAGTGAGGAGGGGGTGGGTCTGGTGGTGTAAGGGAAGAGGTCCATCCCCAGTTCTACCACAGGCTCTGAAGCACAGGTGACCGTTGATGGAGGCAATTCTACCACCCAGCTCTGACCTCAGGATGTGGGGGGAGGCCAAGCCTCTCTTACCCCAAGCCATCAGCAGTAGGCCCCAGGAGGCAAGTTCCTCCTCCCATTGTGAAGGGAAGGATGGAGGAGCAGGAGGGGTCAGGAGGTGGTCCTTGTTCTTATAATCTCCCGGATGTGGAGAGGGTCTGCTTGCTCCTTAGTTCTTGAGAGCAGAGGCCCCTCCATCTTCCCTGGATGATGGCTCGAGTGACTGGAGGGTTTGTGCTGCCTCTGATTCCAGGAGTGCCCAGGTCACCCAGGCTAGGACTTCTACCTACTGGGGTTTCCTTTTCGTGTCCCCAGAAGCTTGAACCCCGCAGTTAAAGCCCAAGGTATTGAAGCATCCGGAGAGCCTGGTGGGAAAGGAAGGAAATGCTGCTTCCTGGGCTGATGGCTTCCCAGGTTCCTGTGACAGGAGGCCGAAGTGCCGCTCGGATCCTTGAAGAGCAGGGCAAGGGGAGGGGAGTAATCCATCAGCCGTGAGGGTGGGGGATGGGGCAGCACAGCATCAGCATCTCCACGGCCAGACTTAGACCTCCTGCTCTCTACCTCCTGCTCTCTGTGTGTGTGGCCCTCCAGCTTCCAGAGACCTGGTACCAGGCAGGCCCTGCACCCACAGGGATCAGAGCCTTTGAAAGAACAGTGAAACAAAGCAAGTTAGAGCCTCCATACCCGTGTTCCCAGACTGCCAGGCAGAAGAGGGATATGGTTCACTGTTTCCTAAGCCCCTGGGGATCCTGAAGGGGCAGGACCAGGGAACTAGCAAGGAACACCTTTGGATGTCACAGGGAAGAGATTCCTTCTAGTTTCTTGGTTTCGGTGTGGATGTAGCATGTGGGCTCCTTAGACCCAAGTCAGCTGCTCTAGAGAGACTGGGTCTGTGGTAGGGGCCACGATGACTCTGCAAGAGGTTGCCCATCTTCTGTGTTGTTGTGACAGCTCAGAGGTGGGAGGATGCCACTTAGGGCCTCAGATCTCATAAGGGTTGGAGCCAGGTCTTCCCTTGTCCTGATCCGTTCCCAGGCAGGGTGGGCATATAAAGTGTTACTCCCAGGAGCAGGTTCCTCCTAACGGGAAGGATCACTCGGGACTTCTGTAGCTTGTAGCTCAAGAACCAGAGCTGTTCAACATGTCACTAGGGGTCACACAGCAGCAAAATGGGGTCAACACGGTGCCCTTGTACCTGTTCCCACTTCTGGACACAGGGTTCCACAGGGAAGAGCTCCACAGGCCAGCACTGAGGCACCTTAGGCTTATCCTCAGGGAGTCCCAGGTACAGGCTGGCTTTGAGTTTCCCTGCCAAGATATACCACCACTCCATCCCTCCCCGTTCAGGGACAAAGCCCCAGGAAGGAGGGTAAGTTCCCTGGGATGGTCACACTGACAGCTGGATGCAGGCCTCTGAGAACAAGGTAGCCAGAAAGGACACCATCAATCCAGAAAGAACTTGTAGAGATGGGCTCCTTGGTTAGCAAAGACACATTCTTGCAAAGGTAGCCACCGCAGCTGAGGCGCTTCCAAAGATGCAGAAAGCACCAGCCCCTCCCTGCAACAGCCCCTGTCAGCCTTCCCCACAACCCCTCTCTTTGTCTCCAGGGATACGGCTTCTGCACATTTCCAGGAATGGGAGGACTCAAGGTCAGCAGAGTCCAGGAAGGAAAGGGGAGGAGAGCCTCAAGTTTCCCAGTTCCGGCTCAGGCTCAGTATCCCCTGCGGTCTGTGCCACACAGGGTTGAGACGGACCCCTACATTCACTCTTGGCTGGCACCCGATCCTCAGTACACCTTCTTTGGGAGATGAGGGCGCCCAGCAGGGATCCTCATAGCAGGCTACAAAAGAAGAAGCAGGCCTGAGGCAGAGGGCAGCGAGAACAATGGGGCACTTCAGCACGTCGAGCCTGGGCACATGTGCTGAGGGCCTCCCAGGAGCTGCCAAGAGCCATAGGAAACCAAAGCAAAGGTTAGGAATTTTCCCAGGCCTTCGAGGCCGACTGCCTGTGCTGTGCCAAGCGGGGAGCTGCCAAGGGAGGAGCGAGCCAACGACAGCGGCGGCGGGGTGGCAGCGCAGAAGAGAAAGTTCCCGGGCAGGAAGGGTGGGCAGCATGACTTTCAGTTCAAGAGGGAGAGCTGGAAAGTCCCATCACTTCTGCAGGCTGGATCAGGCCACGCCCCACCATCTCAAACCCCTCCACCCCGCCCCGGCCCCCATCCTGGGCTTTAGGAGCAAGCTTAAGGTGTGTGAGGTGGGGCTTGTTTACATTGGTTCTCAGGCATTCTGGACTGGATAATTCATTATTGTTGGAGTGCACATGGGCCCTGTGCATCCCAGGACACTCACCGGCCCATGATGTTCTCATGTTCTCATGTTCTCTCTCTCTCTCTCTCTCTCTCTCTCTCTCTCTCTCTCTCTCCCCACCCCCCTTTCTCTGACTCTGTCTCTGTCTGTCTGTCCCTCTCTCTGACCCCATCCCCACCCAGGCTCCCCAACACTAGGATTACAAGTGTATTTGACCATGCCTGACTTTTTGTGGGTGCAGATGATCCAGACTCAGGCTCTTGAGCTTGCACAGACAAGTGCTTTGCCAGCGAGCCACTTCCCTTGCCCTTGTCATGAATTTTTCAGACACTCAATTTATGGAGTTGCTCTTATTCGCACCCTATTACCCTCTCCTTTTCTCCTCCCTCATCCCAGGCTGCTGCTTCCTCCTCCTCCTCTCCTCCTCCTCCTCCTCCTCTTCCTAGTCTCGCTTCTACTTTCAGGTGCTTTTTGCTTTTAAGCCCAGATTCTACGAATGAGAATCCACAGGAGGTACTTGTTTTTCTGAGTGTGACTGACTTCCCTTAATGTGATGATCTCTAGTTCTATTAATTTTCCTGCAAATGCCATTATTTCGATTCTTCAATAACTGAATATATATTTTACACACATATATATCATATATAAATATATATACTATTCATATACCATGCTCTTCATCCATTTATTTGCTGAGAGATCCACTCTAACGCCACACTTCGACTGCTGCAAACAGCCTGGGAAGCAGGATGTGTTGGTATCTCTGTTTGCTGGTGCAGATCCCTTTCAGTATACTCCCTGAGTTTAGAGCTGGGTCATATGGTAATTGCATATTTTGTTTTAGTTTTAGGGTTTAACTATTTTTATTTAGTTTTTCTACATTTTATGCTAATTAAATATAAACAACAAAATTCTGTTGTACCCCGTAAATATACACAAAATATTCTCTGCTATATAAAAAGTTAAAAGTTTTTAAATTATAATAAAAGTGTTACGTGTATGGTTGTTTTGTCTGTATGTTTGACTGTGTACCATGTGTGTGCCTAGTGTCCAAGGAGGCCAGAAGAGGGCATTGGGTGCCCTGGACTTGGAGTTACAAACAGTTGTGAG